TCTCTGGAACAATGGAGCCCAGAGCTGCTTAATGAGCCCAATGAGCTATTTCAATTTTCATAAATTCGAAGTTTCTTCGAATCGAATTCTTGAGCGGCTCCACGCCGGAATATAACCGTTATAGCCTTAAGCAATCACCGACAACCGTTGACGGTGGAATTCATGGCGAAGAGAGAGCAAAGCAATGGTTTCCGTCGTTTCCGTTCCGGTCAAAGAGCTCTTCGGTGCAGAAATTTACCTCTTTCACGTAAGTTCATACTCTCCTTCGATTATACCATGATTTTACTCTTTCAAATTCTTCTCTGTATCTGTATATCATAGTATCATGTTCTGTTGATCTTAGAATAACGATATTCAAAACCAAATTTCAATATGATTCTGAATGGAATCTCATTTTCGTTTAGATCTCGTTCCTTTTTGGTAACTACTCTCTCGTTGATTCGATCGCTCTGCGAAATTCCTTTCTCTTAATTTTGAGAGCAACAGGACAATTAAATTCTTGGATATGCTTTTCATATTGCTTTTGCTTCTTTTTCTGGACCAAGAATGAAACCCTAGACCAGTTGTTGATGTTTTACGGAATTATTATTGTATCTAACTTTTATATTTTCTGTATTTATTACTCTTGTAGTTGTTTAATTACTAATGAGCACCACTAATTTGGTTTATTTCTACGATTTGCCTCTCTTATGCTGGCGAGCAGCTTAAGGAATGTAGTGAGTGTTGTTCCTCGTAAAATAAATAGAAAAAAAAAAATAGACAGAAGAAGATGAAAAGTAGAAAGATGAAACTGAAAGTATGGGGAGCTGGAGAAATCACTCTTTTTAGGACGTTTCGTGCCACTGGTGTAGCAGATTTTTATGGTCGCTGCCCTAAGAATACAGTAGCCCAACCTTTTCTCGTTGTATCTTTACAAGTACTGCACTCTTGTAAAGAAAGCTCTACCCCACCATCTTTTCCTTACCCAAAGAGAGTTTGTATACTATGTTTGTGAAATAAAAGTGTAGATTATAAAAAATTGTATCAAGCTCTGGTACAAACAGAGGTTGCCCTTTTTATAGGCTTTCCCAAATTTGTAACTGAAGTAAAAACCTGTTAAAAATTTTTAACTGAAATTCTCTGGTATCAAGCAAGATTTGTAACTGATGCAATCAAATATAATAATGTATAGATTTAAAACCATTTGACAAAACGAAAATGAATGGATTGTAACTGTTGCCGGTTAATAGCAAAATTAAATAATGGATTTGTAACCAACTGAAATTGATTTTGAAAATAATGAATTTGTAACCATCGGAATAGAACTATCGGTTACAATTTTTTTTTTTTAATTAAAATTTACAACAGTGAGTTTCAAGTCCGTTCACTCCTTGTTATTTCTTCTTCATCGGTTCCCTCTTTTAATTCTTGTTATGTTTATATGCATTCATCATGGGTTGTAAAATTGCACTTAATTTGCTTAATTTTACTGGATTAGCCTTTATTTTGTATTTAATTTTACTTAATTTGCTCTCACAAACACACACTGAACACAGATCTAGCACTCATACGTTTTATCTTGTTTTTATATTTCTTTCTGTATTTATGTATTGATTCTTTTACTATATGTTTCATAGATATCATGGCTTATATTCTAAGTGTCTGTTTATGAGATGACTTTTATGATTTTTATGCTGCCATGGTTGGATTACCTGAAGATTATTCATACTCTGAAATATTTCCTTCGTTTTCATGGTCATTGTGTGTTTAGCTTGGCACGATTACCTTGTATATATTTTTTATTGGCTGTCTCTGTTTTGTATTTTTTCATTATTCGCCTCTGAGAAATATTCTTGATATTATTTGTTTGGCAATAGGCCCCTTTAGATTTGTTTTCTTGATCTTAATATTTTCATCTACTTAAATTATTTTTATTAAAGACATTTTCTAGAACGGTGCAAATTACCAATTTTTACAAGATTATGGAGTGATATTTGAATTTAAGTGCATAACTAACAAGATTTTATTTGTTTTTCCAGAAAGTAGGAACATGTGCAAGTGCAGAAAAGTTCTCACGAAATAACTTATCTAAGACCATAATAATCAGTCCGAAATTATTTGCATGGATATGCCAAACTTAAGAGTGAAGAAAAGTTTGAGATTTTATTAAGATTCAAAGAAAATTATTTTTTGTTCCTGAAAAGGGAGTCACATGTGGAAGAATCTTATTAAGTCTAACTAGTCATGGTCGCTCCAAGAGGAGAGAGTAAAGCATCTGCAAGGAGATGGAAAAATAAAGGTCTAAAAAAGAGTGGCAAAGAGTAAATGGGCAAGTGAGGGATTGGTTAAAAGTTAAGGTTTGTCCAGTGCAGTAAAGGGTGATTGTGTTGAGGAGAAGAAGGAAGATAATGCAGGCTTTCTGTATGGTTATGGAAGAGGAGGATAAGGTGGAGATATCGTGAGAATGTCTCATTTGAGATTTTGGGCTTATAAATCTTATTTGATTTAAGTTTTAAAATCTGTCAAGGCTCAATTGGAAAAGTTCTTTCTCAACCCTTCTTCTCTTGGTCTGTTGGCCAATTCCTGGATTCCAAGTAATGAATTTTTTGTTAATAATTTGTGATGTTTGCAAAATTCTTGTTCAATTATGCTATGGGAATGATTTTCTTAATAATGTATATAAATTTGAATTTTAGATTCTCTAACTATGCTTTTGCATGTACATATTTGTCACTTTCATCATGCATCTTGCTTTGTATGAAATGCTCGTGTGATGTCATACTAAAGTGCTTCCATATGGTCAAAATTGTGCTTATGACTCAGGCTAAGCATGCTAGACTAAATTTTAAAGGAGGGTAGAGCTGAGAAGATCTGAGTTATGGCTAGTTGAGGTAGATTCTAGTATATATGATATCTTTGGATGGTATCTAGGTTGGTTTTTTGAGATTGCTGGCAATATTTAAGCAAGAGAGATTAAAGAATGCTGTTTGGTTTCAAAGTTTTCTAGGGTAGCAGGGTATTGGAGAAAAGATGATGAGAGATGGTGATTGCAACTTTGACTTGCTTAGTACATAAAGATGAATGATAATAATGGGGTGATCTCTGGCAGTAGACAAGAAGAACTCAGCTACTCATCTTTGGGGTGCAAAAAAGTATGTAGAATATGGCAAACAGCTTGTGCATGGTGGAGCATCTCTAGCATGATTCCAGGTTGAATATTGCAGGGCCTTTGATTTTTATACTTTGGGTATTAGAAATCACCTTAAAAAGGTTTGCTGGAGGCTGTTATTCTTAGTTGTCACATTGTCTATATGGACGGTTAGAAATAATATTATCTTCCAGAATTTGGATTGGAATGAGGGGAACTTTTGAACTTACCCAACTTCGGTCTTTCATGTGGCTAAAACATACGAGCTTGGGTGGTGCTGTGACATTCAGAGATTGGTGTATTTAATCCTGCAGATGGTGCAAGTGAAATGGTAGGAGTTCACAGGAGGAAAGAGAGAGATCTTGAGCTCATTTGAATTTCATTTTTTGTGGGATAGCAAGCAAGGAGCATCTGAAAGAGATATGTAACCCTACAGGGTTGGGTACCCCTTGTCTCCCATAATGGAATTTATTTGCTGTTAAAAAAAACAAAGGTGTGAAGATTCATTAAATAGATGTAGAAGGAGAGCTTTTAGAGGTTAAAGAGATGTTGCATATAGCTTTGTTAATAACCTACCTATTAGATAAGTCTTACAATTCAAAGAGAAACATATCCTGTGTCTTGTAAATGTTTTGAAGCATGATGGGAAAGTGCTAGCATGATAAGACTGTAGAGTTAAGTCATATCCTTCTAGGGCTACTATTAGAAGGTTTTCATATTGATTATCATGTTTACATCCCTAGGTATGGAAAATCAGTAAATAACTTTCAAGACCTTAGGAGTATATACTGAGATTATTTCAAATTATTGGAATAATTTGGCAAGTTTCTATTTGGATTTTATGACAAGTAGTTTGTAGATATCTAGAGTGGTGAGGTCAAGATTGTAAGTGAATTTCTAGGATATAGGAAACATGAGAAGCTATGTTGAGAGCTTGCATCTTGACTTTCAGTGGTAGGTTGCTCTTTGGAAATCTCACATACTAGTTTACAGTTTACCATTAGCTTATCATTCTTAAATTGACAGAAAACAGGAGCACATCAGTTGGAGGATGTATTAAGAGGTTCCATCTTTGATCTTAGCAACTGTTTAGATTTATTCACTTCCCATTCATTAGTTCTCTTAGGAAGTTAGACGACAGCTATCATTAATTGTAAGTATGGTTCGACTTAAGGCACTTCATTAGTGTGTCTGAGTAAATAAAGAACTAGGACCCAGAATGTTCTTTTCATCCAAGTCAAGTAGTATAGTTGTTTAAATTAGTTTATGCAAAAAAAAAAATTGAGAGAAGGGGACAGTGGAGGAGAGACGGGGTAGGGGGGAGGGGGTGGGGATGACTTTAGGCCAAGCATGCTTATGTATGAAATCATATTTGACCATGAACGGAAGGCACTTTTTGAGCATTTCATACAACATTATGCATTATTTAAGTGACATTTATATGGACATGCAAAATCATTTGTTGAGCATCTAAAATTTACATTTATATTCATTTTTAAGCAAATCACCCTTAGTTTAATTCAACAAAGAATTTTGTGATATCACAAGTTTTTAACAATTAGTTCGTTTTTTTTTTAATCAAAGTTACGGCAAAAAAACAAAAGGGGGTTGAGAAATAACATTTCCATATGAACCTTGATGAGTTTTAAAACTTAATTCTCTTGAGACTTCTAAGCTTAAATGACTCAAACGAGCTAAAACGTAATATCTCCACTTAAATTCCATTTTCCATCTCTATACATTTAGTTTGCACTGCCTTTCACCTCTAAACACACGAACCACCACCCACCTTTGGCCATTGGGCCGACCTTGGCCTTTTCCATAATTCCTCACAAGCCTGTTGAAATTTGCTTTTCTTTTTTCCCCCCACTTTATTTTCCCCTCCTCTCGTGAATGCTTGATCCAGTTCTCTTTGTGAGCGACAGAGACAAAGAGGACTTTATTAGATTTCTTTCACTGCGGATCAATCCTTTTGAGGAACAGAAACTGATTTTCTGTTGAATCTCAATGAAATCTCGGTACTTCTTTTCACTAATGAGCCATACCCATGCAAATTAGTTTGGATCGGACACGATGGTCTTAAGATACACTTATTTTGTTGGGCCAGGTTTTGGACGGCGTTGGCCCATTCAAATTTAAGGCTGGTCTTCAAGTCTGCTCAAGTCTCAACCCAGAGAATTGAAGAAATGGATGGGCCGGTCTTTATTTTCCTTTTCCATCCCTATTATATTCTCTAACATAAAATGTACCAAAAACTCAGTATTCTTTTTTTTCTTTTTCTTTTTTTTTTTTGTGTTTAATTCATGTCCAACATTTCTACCTTAAATATTTATGTATAGATATATTTTTTTGGTCTTTTCTTTTGAAACTTCTTTCTTAGTTATCTTAAGATTTAGAATTTGAAATTAAATTTTAACGTTGTAAAGTTCTTAACTACTAAACCTCCAACTTAGAAGTTCAAACCCTAATTAGTAAAACATATCAATGGGACTATATATTGGGATTTCTATAATCAAACACTGAGTTGAACATAAAATTATAAAATTAAGTGGGACAGACTATAGAGAGGAAATAGAGGCAGATGTTTGGAGATCTCAGAACAAGACATGGACATGAAGGTTGAAGGAACTGAACGCCAACATACTCGTGGTGTCTTGGAAAACATCTCAGATTAATAGGTAAAAAATCCGCTCAGAGATGTGCTCTGCAAATTCCCAATAACAAATTGTCCTAATGCATGTGCATATATATCTTAAATATTAATACGTGGACAAATGCATGCAAATATAAAAAAATAATTAAAAATAAACAATTTATAAGTAATTAATTTCTGTTTCTCGCCTACAAACGCTTCAGGTCCACATTGACGGCACTTGTGTATCTTCTACACGAGACAAATATACTCGGTTTCATATTCTTCAATCCTAGCTAAATTAACACTAAATCATTTTTTAATTAAATAATTTAGTGCAACGTACCATAAAAAGGTTAAACTTTTCTGTCAAATTACAGTCATATGCATCACGGTGCTATTTAATCTTATAAGGGTTTGAGATTTAAGTAATAATTTTGGTTCTAATTTTTTGGTATTTGGAAATTATATCATATTTCAATTAATTTGAAATTGAGTCGTGTAAGATCTTATAAAAAAGTAAACTTTATTAATGCTTATTTTTCATTCATAAAATTCGAATTCAAATACTTATTTAAAAAAAAAATCAAATTTTTTCCACTCGAACCAACATGTCGTTGAATTTAAATCATAATAACAATAACATATACTAAAATGAAAACCAAAATCAGTTATGTTAGATCTTATAAAAGGAAAATTCGCTCAATACTTATTTTTTTATTTATAAGACTTAAATTTGAGATTTTATTTTAAAAAAAAAATCGAGTTCTTTCGACTCAAATAAACAAGTCATTAGTATTTAAGTCATAATAGCAATAATATATACTAAAATGAAAAACAAAATAAAGGTTAAAATTTTTTATTTTACAAATTAAATTATATAATAATTTTTGTAATGCTTATATATATTTTTCTGTAACTTAATTTTACACAAAAAGGAAAAACAAAACAAAAAGAGAGAGAGAAGATTGTTGATCTCGATTTGAATTAGGGTATGCTTGTTTTCGAGGAAAAGAGGTGAAGATGTTTGTTGGTGTGATTCACAGAACAGATGGAAATTGAACAGTGAAGAAGGTTGGGACAGTTTCTCCGCTGGTACTGAGCCAAGCCGACCAGGGCGCGCCCACCAAAGCAAGTGCTGGTGGGTGGGTTGAGACTATTTGTTTCCCAAGGATAAAACCAAAACCTTTCTGCACCTGCCCCTCTGTTGTACATATTGTTGTGGTCTTCTACAATAATCCTTCCCCCTTTTTTTTATTCCATCCCTTCTTTGAAAAAAATAGAGGAGGAGACAAATGCTTATTAGTTATTTTTAAAAGGTTAAAATACTAATTTAGTCCTTCAACTTTTTATTTTAGTACTAAAATTGTTCTTAAACTTCAAAAAATATTAAAATTGTCTTTAAAATTTCATTTTCTATACCAAATCGGTCCTTCCGTTAATGGAAATGCCAAGTAGTATGTTAAATTGTCAGAAAATTCAAAGTTTCTTTAAAAACATAATGATGTGGAAAGAAAAACACACATAAGATGATGATGTGGCATTTCAATCACATTTTAATCTCTAACCCTAATACTCACCATTTCATTATCACTTATATATATCTTATAAACACAATAAACCCTAAATCTAATCTCTAAGCCGTCAGCCCTTTTGTCTCTCAATTTTCTTGATCTCTGTTTTTAGTGACCTCAACTTCTCCAATCATCTCAAATTCCACCAAATCACCTTCCACTCTTCTCCAAAATTTTGATTACCATCACCTCTTGAACGCTCTATCATCTCAGAATCATCAATGCACCAGCACCTTCCAAACCGACCTTTTCTGTCTGAGTCTCGCAGCACCGACAAAAGACAAGAGGTATGACTGTCTTTGTTTCCTCATCTTGTCTTGTCATTGCAAAACTTCACCATTTGTTGAGGGATGGAAGTATGTCAGGTACATTATGGCAAAGTCATTTGTTCTAGGAGCCAAATTCAATAGTCAACCTCGACATGTTCTTGGATTCTAATAAAACCTGAACTTGCTTCCCCAATTAGAGTTTCTGTCTGATTGTCTCCTAAAAACATTAGAAATCCTCCCTGAACCCAAGAAATGATCTAGGTATGAGATTATCAAATATGGGTTTGAGAACCTA